ATAATTTACATTTACCTTGTTGCTTCAGTTTGAGGAGATGTGTTTTGTAAGGATATTTGTTCATTCTCTGTTACGATGCTAAAAAGTAGTAGTTATATTTAAGAGTGTTGTAATGATACAAACACTTACAATTTTGATTTTTTCCTCTGGCAGAATATGTAGACACAGCTACTGATTAATGCAATGATAGTCAGTAGGTTAGTAGCTACTAATAAACCAATACCAGTGTAATGGGGTAATGTTGATGGAGATTGTACAGGGGATACTGTTGTAGAAGTTGATGGTGATACAAATAATGATAATGATGAAGCTATTGACTCATGCTGTAGCATTGACGTATACAAAAAGTTGGAACAAGTTGTTACTTCATGTAATGATTTGATAGAGCAAGGCATAGTAGATGTTATTATTGTAGATATTACCGTTGTGGTAGGTACATCAAGTTCAAACTTTAATGTTTCATTACCATCGTTGTGGACACATTTATAAGCTCCACTATAACCACTATAAGACATACAATTCATGGCACTGGAATTATGAGTACATAAATACATCATTACTGGTAGTGGCATAGCACTAGGAGATGGTTTAATCCAAGTAGCTACATCAGACTCTGCCACGGTGTATGTCATTGTAAATTGACCATTGTCATAGCTGCTCTGATATGAACTTACACACCACAGGACCATACACTGATGCTCACACATTTCACAAGTAAAAAGGGTAGAATCATTGTCTAAACTCATGTACTGTGACTCCAAACATGTCTTTTTATACATGACAAAATCTAAAGTAAAATATTAGTTTCATAAATATAGAAATGTATAATACCTGGTTGTAAAGAAGTAGGCACAGGCTCATTAGTATTAGCATCACATGTATTAGCAAAACAAGCTAGAGCATTACAAAAGAAGACTAGACCAAAAATAAGAATCACCATCATTCCTCTGTAGATTATGCATAGTAGTTATTAATTTAGTTATACTATAAGTTAATAACTGTTTCACTAATTGCAACAGAAATAAACACTCACTACCGTATTTAAGAGAAAAAGTAAAGTAAAAATTGGGTCTTAAGTAATTACAAAACCTAATAAATAGTGTCATTTAGTTCAGTTATAATATCATTCATTGTTGGACGGTGTCTATACTCAACTATCAGGCAACGTTCAACAAGAGACCTAAACGAGGCTCTTCTAATACCCTCAATAAGACCTACTCTCTCTTCTGGTAGAGGAATACGTCGTGTTATCATCTCTAGAAGGAGGACACCATAACTGAACACATCCATTGAAGGAGAGTGTTCCTTTGGATTCCCTGCTTCAGGTGCTGAATAGACAGGATTACCAGGATTAGTGGTTCTACCAATGAGAGGTTGAAGATTAGCTGATCCGTAATCTGATACTTTAGCCCTCCATCTATTGCCACCTTCCATTGGCTGAAGGAGTACATTAGCACTGCTGACATCTCTATGTAGTATAGGATGAGGCTTGAAGAGATGAAGGTAATTGAGAGCACAGGCTACATCTAAACTGATGCTCAGTATGGCAGGATAGGCCACTCCTCCACTCTCTAATTCCTTTCTTAGGCTCGTCGGCATTAGCTCTGTCAGGATCATTGGATTACCCTCTGTAGTCGCTCCTATGAACTGAAGGAGGTTAGGATGACGTATTTTAGAAGCAATATTCATTTCACGAGAGAACAGTGACACGTTATATTCTGATATGATGGTCTCATGAAGTACCTTTGCAGCAACTTCCAGTCCATGGAAACGAGCTACTCTGACCTCTCCCCATCCTCCTCTCCCTAGAATCCTTTCTGTCATTCTAATATCATTTCTGCTAACTACCCAGGAAGACTCTCTCTCTTGTCTATCTCTCTCTCTTAGTTGCTCCTGAGCTTGTTGAAGCTGTCGTTGAAGATCCTGTTCTCTTTGCTGGCCACCTTCTACTTGCCTTTGAAGCTGTCGCTCTCTTTCTTGAGATTCTCTCTCTCTTGATTGAAGTTGCCTCTCTCTTTCTCGAAGCTGTCGTTGAAGATCATGAATTTCTTCCCTGGCCTGCCTCTCTCTTTCTTGTCCTTGTTGCTGTGCTTGTTGAAGTTGTCGTTCTCTTCCTTGAAGTTGTTGCTGTAGTCTGTTTCTAACTTGTTCCTTTTCTCTTCTCTCCTCCTCTAGTTCCCTTTCCCTTTCTTGTAGTACACGTGTCAGACGATCTATTTCTCTTCTATCCTCAGGTTGAACAGGTTGAGATGCTTCCCATTCTCTTCTCCTTTCTTGTAGTTTCTCTTGATACTGGTCCAGAGGTATTATACTAGTAGACCAATCATTATTACTAGTATATCCTATACAGTAACACAATAGTTGAATTAATGACAAGTACATGTACAGTGTACATGCCTGATAATAATATTAGTTAATACTGTATTGTCGGTTTACTATG